CCCCACCGTGGCACCGGACCAGGCTCCACTGGAGTGTATCCAGCTGATGAAGCAGTGCTGGAGCGAGCTGCCCGACCGCAGACCAAACTTTGAAGAGATCTTTGACAGGGTAACTATTTGGAGACATGCTGACAAGCCTTATTCCTCCAAAATTTTATAAGCTCAGCAAAATATAAATGATTCTTCATTTGTTTTTTCTCAACTAGTTCAAGATCATTAACAAAGGCAAGAAGACCAACATTATCGACTCCATGCTGAGGATGCTGGAGCAGTACAGCTCCAACCTGGAGGACCTCATTAGAGAGAGAACAGAAGAGCTGGAGGTGGAAAAGCAGCGGACAGAAAAACTGCTGTCTGAGATGCTCCCGCCGTGAGTTAACCCACGTATGATGATACAATCCACACTGTGAAGTTACGGAATGAATGAGCTGACTCTCTGATTCTCACTACTCTTCTGCCTCAGCTCTGTGGCCGAGGCTCTGAAGACCGGCGCCACAGTGGAGCCAGAGTACTTCGACCAGGTGACAATCTACTTCAGCGACATTGTAGGTTTCACCACCATCTCGTCGCTTAGTGATCCCATCGAGGTGGTTGACCTCCTCAATGACCTCTACACTCTGTTCGACGCTGTGCTCAGTAGCCACGATGTCTACAAGGTCAGAAAGAAGGCTTGGTTTTTATAGTAAACCCTTGTTTTTAATCAGTCTTTTGAGTTTATGGCGTATGAATGCATCCCCCCAGCATCTTAAACATATTCATTGAAATGTTGTATCATGATGATGCTGGGGAATGATCGACAGGAGGATTAGTCAGTTAACAGCACATGAGCGACGTGTTATCCAGCAGCATCTGTCTATAGTACACGAACAGTAGCCAGTGACACGTACCGCTGACTCCATAACTCATCAAATATGTTTATGTCGCCCAGGTGGAGACCATTGGGGATGCTTACATGGTAGCATCAGGTCTGCCAAAGAGAAACGGCAACAAGCACGCAGCTGAGATCGCCAACATGTCTCTGAACATCCTCAGCTCAGTGGGAACCTTCCGTATGCGGCACATGCCAGACGTGCCCGTCAGGATACGGATAGGAATCCACTCAGGTGAGCTCTGTTCTTTTTTTTATCTCCACCAAGTAGGTTATGTTTTCGTTCTGTTTGTCTGATAGTTAGCTGGAATCCACAAAAACTACAAGAATTTGGTGAGAAGTTGTGGTATGGGTCAGGAAAGAATCCATTAAATATTGGAGCAGATGCAAATAAATGAACGTATCCAGGGGATTTTGCTTCACTTTCTCTGCAGCATTTCCCACAGATATCATTCAATCCATGGCGGTTGCAGGGGTGCACAAGCATGGTTCTCATATGTAACAGATTCTGTGAGGGTACACTGACGAAAGAGAGAAAGTTCTCGCATGAGAGAGAGAGAGAACTGCCTCGCATCATACTTGTTGGTGCACACACAACTGCAGCTGAAACTATGAGGTCTGACTCGCTGCATGGATGGTAAAACCTTATGGATGATAGTGCAGGCAAACAAGAACCAAATAGCATTGCACATCGGAATACAATGCAGCGATAGAGCAAGGAAAAAATCATATTGTTCTACATTTACATGTTTGTTTTTTGGCTTATTAATTGTTCTGTTTGTGTTTGCAGGGCCCTGTGTTGCTGGAGTGGTAGGTCTGACCATGCCTCGGTACTGCCTTTTTGGGGACACTGTCAACACTGCCTCTCGTATGGAATCCACTGGGCTGCGTGAGTATCCAGAAAACATCTACCACCATGTTTTGTTGTGTTGTTATGGTCCTAAGTCACTCTTCTCTTCTATTCACTTCTCATCTCTTCTTATTCTCTTCTTATCTCGTCTCTTCTCTCCGCTTCTCTTCGCTTCTCCTTTTGTCTCGTCTCTTATCTTCTTTTCTCTTGTGTCTTCTCTTCTCTTTGCTTTTCTTCTGTTGGATTCTTGTCTCTTCTCTTCTCTTCTAAACTCTTCTCTTGGATTCTCTTCTATTCACTTTTGGTCTCTTCTGGTTTTCGTCTTCTCTCGCCTCTTGTCTTGTCGTATCTCTTCAAAACTCTTCTCTTGCTTCTCTTCTCTTTAATTACCTTCCATTCTCTTTTCTTTTCGTCTCTTTCCTTCGATTCGCTTCTCCTCTTGTCTCGTCTCCTCTCCCCTCTCCTCAGCTTATAGAATCCATGTGAACATAAGCACGGTGAAGATCCTCCACTCTCTGAATGAGGGTTATAAAATAGAAGTCAGAGGCAAGACAGAGTTGAAGGTAACATTGGAACTCAGTGTTTGGAATTCACGACTAAGACTTTTTCAGTGTCTACTGATCCACTGCTTGTTTTTTTTTGTTGTGGTTGCAGGGTAAAGGTATTGAAGAGACATACTGGCTTGTGGGGAAAACAAATTTTGCAAAGCCTTTGCCAAAACCACCAGAGATCAAACCAGGGTAAGATTTAAAAATCTTTGTATTATTTGTATATATGTAATATTGAAAACATTCAATGAGGAGCACATTTAAGGCTCATCTCCCATCTGGTCTAAAATTGCATAAATGCCATTAACCTGTGACTCATGCAACCTGCAACTATCCGCATGTTACTTCAGGGAAGACAATCACGGCCTGAACCCTGAGGATATAGCTGCATACAGGAGAAAGAAAGCCGAGAAAAAGGCTTGACCTTCTTAGTCCAAACAGCAGAGGTAGAGACCTGCATGCCAGCTGGTGTTGTGTTGCAGAAATATTGTCGTGTTTGTCAGTTTGATGTGACCAAACTCATCCTTTGAGCATGCACGGACACGGCTTCCTGTCGTTGAGTTCTCAACCTTAGTGATTGCTTTGTGATTTACTAGCCTTATTAATCTCCTGATCTTATCACCTTCCACATTGTCTTAAGCAGATTGGGGAAAGCCCTCCTTGTTTACATCATTTACCTTTATTGTGCCTGACACATAATGAACTTTTCGCCCTCAGCATTGTTGTGTTTTTATTCATTCTTTGTCTGTTCTTGTGCTACGCTTTCATACATTTTTTGTGTGTTCACATCTCAGAGCTTTTGCTTAAAAATAAACATATTGTCAAATACAATCTTGGTCTTAACTGCACCCGGTGTCTTTACTAGGGACAACTGGCAGGAGATGGTGACAGAGGAGATCAAGACACTTTTTCGCAAGGCCAACAGGCAGGTGGACAAAAAGATCTGAGTGAGAGATTGAAGCAAAACCCGGAGAGAAGAGGAGAGGAGGACACATCCAGAGAATGAAAGGGACAAGAGAGCTGGGCAGGGCAGGCAGGGGACAGAGGCCACCACCCAGCCTCTCACAGTGGCTTAATGCAGACTTGTTTAAGAGGATTGTCCGTCGGCTGGCTAATCTGCCTCCAGCCAGCGCAGCAATACTTGACGGCGCTAATGTAATGAGAACTGCCGCATTACCCACCGACATATCTGCTGCTGAGACGCGCATGGAAGGTGCATCCACTCCTTAATGACGGGTCCACTCATCCACTCCTTAATGACGGGTCCACTCATCCACTCCTCTCTGCACACACTGGCCACTGAGTGGTTACCTATTCCAGGGCAACCAGAGCTTCACCCACCAGAGGACTGAATGCCCCCAAACGCCTATTTCAAAATGAAATGTCTGTTTTTAGTTTGTCATAAAAGCTCATCATAGAATTGTGGAGCTGAGGCTGTTACTTAGATATGAGAGAATATTCTATTTTACTAGCACTCCTAAGGCTGGAGGTGAAGGCTGCTATTTTGTGTAATAATCAAGAGAGAGAAAGAGAAATGTGTCACTTTTAATTTCTAATATACTAGAGCAGGATGAGGAGGAAGAGCCAGTCCAGGCCATACATGCTTTTTTTTGAGCTCTCAGCCTTTTTTTGATCAACATGAATGAGATAAATCAAAAGTCACAAAGTAAGAACAATGCACCGGTGATAATGAGGATTCACTCTATTTTCTGTGATAGTCAATGATACTTGACGGTCTTTCAGTTAAACACGTCACTGTGCTCGATGATGGATTTATTCCACTGACACGTGCTGTTGTTACACCTGATGTCAGCACCTACTGTTCTGGTTGTTTGTGCTACGTCTCTGGATGATACAACACTCCTGCTATCAATAAAAAACCCACTACACAAAAATATACATTATGTGACAAAGAGTTATTTATAATGGCCATCAACATTACTGCATTTGAACAACTTCAAATCAGCGTAAACTCTACTGGTTGAAGTAATGATGTTGTGTGAGTAATGTGCATAGACTACATATAAAGATGGACAATATGAAGGCTCCGCGAAAGTGAAGCCAAAGCGTCTCCAGCTCCCCCTGGTGGCTCCTTTATTTTAGTGGATGAACATGAAAAATGAATTTCTTTCATTCCACGAAGTTATTGTCACATTGAAGTTCTAATTTTTTCCAATAAGTTTGGTTTCATTTAAGGATTTTCTATAAAAACAAAGGTGAAACGTAAATGATTGTCAGCTGACTCGTGAATAGCGTGGACCTTGATATTGTGGCTCCATTTCCCGATTGCAACAGACTTTGGCTCCGAATCACATGATGATGATCGAGCATTCATATCGGGGATGGGACATGAGGCACGGAAAAAAACATTAAGTTTTGGCGTGGATCTGGACAAAGGGGTGGATCGAGACTGATATCTATGTTTGTGCAATTTAGTGCGGCTTGATTGAATGTAAGGGGACTGTTTGGCCCCTGCAGAGGGATGTGCTCTACTGAGTGCCATTCTGGTTATTGAGTACTTTTGATTGAAAATTGTAAAGTGACAAATTGTAGATGTTCATTGCTGACTGTAAAACTAAAAAGTTCATATGGAACTAAATTAATGATTATATCGAAATGTTTTACTTGGTAGAAGTGTATTAGAGAAGGTTTTTACCAAAATCATCAAACACCAGTGGAAAAATCTCAACCACAGGAAATATAGAGACAACAAACACTTTCTCAGGAAACCACACAACCTCATTACTCACATTTATTCTGTAATGTTGGCTCCTGTAAAGTCACTGTTCACATGCAGAGTCACAGGATGCGATCCTTCGCCTTTCCACCAGCACTAAGACACAGACACCAGTGACACCGAGCGGAGACATTGAGACTTAAGACCTTTACGTCCAGAGTAGAGGTATAATACAATAATCTGCTACATCTGCACAAAAACAGTCAACTGTTTTTATGTGTTACTTTTATTTGATTCAGGTTGTTTCAAATATATGGCATGCTGCAAGGATTATTTTTGAATATACCGGTATATAATATGAAGTTTGATTATATTGAATGACAGTCAGAATATATATGGAATGAATCTTGAATCTATTGAATACAGATTTGAAAACATTACATTCAATATATTCAGATGTTATAGTTATATAAACAAATTCATTAGCATAAGACTGAAGCACTAGTAATTTAAATATTCAATCAAGTTTCAGGCCATGAGATTCAACATATTTGTCAGTTTAACAGTTGCTGATTAAAAACAAACAAACATTAAAGGTGTGAGACAGATTAACCATTCTTTGTTTTGTCATATGGTCAATCCTGCACAGACGAAGTGCAATACAATCACAATATCACTGAAGTGGATAGTACAAATAATGATGTGCAATGCTAAGGTTATGCATATGCCTTTATGCCAGTAAATGACAATATAAAGATAGACATTTATACATAAAGGCCACTTCTGCCTGTTGCTGCAATACATCAATGCGTCCACCATATTGGACCAGGCAAGACTGGCCTGTTAACACATGCAAGCTGCAGTCTATCTGGAACAAAACACAATAAGGTTTAAATTTCAACTGATTTCAATCAGCTGCTTTTTGTATTGATGAGTTTGTGATCTACGTAGAGAACAAAATAAATGTCTCAAATACAAAGTCAATTGTTCGGATATACTCACTGCTAGACAATCAGCGGGGGGGGGGGGTCCACGTTAGACTTTAAATGGTGTGAATTACTGACTTGGCTGAAAATGATTTTCAAAATGAAAGCTCTGTTGTTCCTCTCGATATAAAGCTTGCTGCAATTAAACAAACGTTGACTTTGTAGACAAATAGCTGAAGAGGAAGTGATTCTATAAATGTGTCAGTCCAATGTGGTGAAATAAAAATAATCAAATTATCAAAATGATCTGGTGGGAAAGATATTATTCACACAGCTGCAGTCTATAATTCTGAGGACTGCCCTGTCCCCACCGACTGCTCCAGAGCGAAGCCAATAAGATGAACGGTCCTAGAGATATGCTTTCCACAGACAGACATACAGACATCTGTGGAATTTGTAGGTAGATATATGCTGATTTAATCCCATATTTTTAAGAAGAAAAGGAATCAAAGCTTTCACGTTTAACCCAGTTTTTTGCCCATTTCAAATGAATACTGATTCTTGCCAATACTACATGTCAAACTATTGACTTTAAATAACTGGAGGCAAAACCCATGTAGGTAAGAAACCCTTGAAAGCAAATTGTTGATATTAGTTGAAATTTAAATGTAAAAGTATTTGTTATACAGACAAATGGAGCTCCGCCTTTAACTTGCATGTGTTTACAGGCCAAAATGGCAACTGCAGCATCTAGGTGTATAGTATGTGTCTGTGGTCATTGGTATTAATCCTGAAGAAGAAAAGGAAGGCATTTTTAAGGAATCCTCAGAGCCCCAGGATGTCTGTCTTCACACTGAAACCCAACAGTGTGTTTGCAGCTACCACACATTCTGCCACACATGGTGCTGGGGAAAAAAACACACAAACTAAGTCAGCAACAGATGATACACAGTGGCTGACAGGCTACAAACCATCACACCTGTTTAAAATTAATTGATCTATCTATTACTTATTGATTATTACCTTTCTGAGCACGGAGCCAGGACACAGCCTTCATAGCCAGAAGCTCCCACTCTTCCTTTGCATCCATCTTGAATCCATGAAGCCAGATCAGAGCCAGAATGGTGGCCCACACTTCCTGTTTCACCTAATTTACAAAAAAAACAAACAACGGAATAGATTTTGAGGGGAGATTGAAAAGTATCTCCCAATATCTAAGCCCTGGGCCAAAACAAAACTGGATCAAACTACGCATGTCGGACATTTCTACTCTATTGCTCTCTATGTTAAATAAATACATTCAAAAAACCCTCTGGGATTTTGAGGTAGGCTGTCTTTATTCAGAAAATGAGGTGAATGTTTTTCCCATGAAAACAGAAATGATCTCATTAATTCAGATTCTCAAGTGAATTCAGTAAGCTTCTGTACAACAGTAATAATATCATATACTAAATGAAACAGGGTCAACGCCTTTCACAAGCAGGAGGTTAAAATGACCACAAGAGGGCGGCATACCTAGTTTCTCAATTTGGTTATGTTGAGCAGTCCAGTCATCACTGTCACTCTCATATGTTCAGCTCATTAGGGACACAGCAGCTCTGTTACAGCACCATTGCATTGTATATCAGCTAGTTCTTCTGCTGACTCATTTCCACTGCTGTGTCACAGCTTTCCTCATAACATATATATTTGTTTTCCAATAGAGAATTTAAATTTGTCTTATGTTTGACATCATTGTTATGTTTTGTTTGATCTGCTTTTGTGAAAAAGTGGCATCACTACAAACCACATGATGAAATCTGTTTCCAAATAACACAATGACTTAGTATTACGACTCACAGCTGAAGGCTTTGTGTTCTCCACCTCCTCGCTGGTCTTTCCCACAGCAGCAGCCAGAGCCGTATCAAGCACCCAGCAGCCAGATGCCTTCTGCAGGGAGATCAGCTGCAGCAAAGGATCTCTGGGTGGTTGCTGTTTTGGTGCATTGACTTCATCCTCTTCAGAAGAGCAGCCTGAGGGAAAAAAAAACAAACCATGGTAATTATTCTAATAAAAACCTACTAGTTAGGATACTAATACGGTACACACAGTGAGTGTATGTGTGGATAACTATGTGAGCAAATATATCTATATGTCTGTCTGCCTGTCTAACAGTCTACATCTATCTATGGGTCACATGTTTGTTGTTCACACAAAGAGAATGTCTGCTGCAGAGCTGCTACATGGGTTTTTGAGTGACAACTATATTTTCTTGAATTAAAGTAAACCTATGTACTCAACTAAATAGCAGAACCCTACAGTATAAAGCCGAGCAACTGCCGGTCCTACAATAACAACAAAAAACATATTAAACCTAGTAAATTAATTATCTCATGTAAATGTTAGAATCATCAGCAGTCTTTATAAATAGAATCAATATACTGTATGTTGTTAAGTCAGTGTGTGTGGATACCTTCATCGAGGAACATGTCATCAACCCGTTCCAACTTGGATGAGAACTGCCAGGACTGGCAATCTTCCATTCAGAAGAAAAGAACTCATATAACAGCAAATTTATATATAGCATTTTATGGTTCTAATAGTGAAACAGTTTGTTACAGCCCAGCTGTGGTTAACTTACAAGTTCTATGAGCTGAAGGACCTAACCAGCATTCAGTTTAGTATCAGTCTNATTAATGGAGGTTTGGCAGGTTTGGTCTACTTACAAGTTGAATCATACATGGAGCTGGACATCCCATCCTGTCTTGGAGCCTGATGGGGGGCAGCTCTCATTCCCAGCGAAGATTTTTTTGGTTTCCCCACAGCTTGGAAWTTCTTCTTGATACCAGGAAAAAAGCCGCCAGACTTTGCTTGAGAACTTGCTCCCTTCTTACAAGCTACTGGGAGAGCAGAGTGGTGTGACAATAAATCCACTGGCCATCACTCTAATGGTGAGGCAAGATGTCACCCAGCACAATGGCATAGCTCTTTAATGCGGGACAATGACAAATCAAGATGTACATTTCTCAGCTGGTGAACAAAATATATATGAGAAACAAATGGTTCTGCATTGGAAGATACATTTGAGATACCTTCAATAATGAAAAAAGAAGTATACATTTATATATAATATATATTTAAGTAAGGCAGATAAGCTGTTGCCAACTAATGTGCATAAAAATTGTAATGGTTCAACTGGCAGTTTCCTTATACAATTTATTTAGGGAGTTTTCTACTGGGTGAATGCCTGAACATGAAATATCAAGTGATGGACATGTGTTTTTGTGCCCATGAGATGTAGAACTACACCAGTGTGTGATCACGAAGCCCTTGAGCTTCTTACTCACCGAGTACAGCAGGAGCAGAATCTATCGAAAAGCAAGCCCAGCTGAGCACCGGCATCGATCCCAACTTATTTCCTTTGATTCAGAAGAAATGAGTTGATAYAACAGCAAATTTATATATAGCATTTTATGGTTCTAATAGTGAAACAGTTTGTTACAGCCCAGCTGTGGTTAACTTACTAGCTCTATGAGCTGAAGGACCTAACCAGCATTCAGTTTAGTATCAGTCTAGTATCAGTTTCTAGATACTAGGACACAACATATGAGACTTATTGGARGAYACATTTGAGATACCTTCAATARTGAAAAAAGAAGTATACATTTATTGATTATCAACTTTGGGAATAAGCCCTTGAGCTTCTTAATCACCATACTGTACAGCAGGAGCAGAGGCCATAAAAGACTGGGACATCGACCACATCACTGAAACCAAAAACAGTGGCTATAGATGATAAAAAACATTGATGACTGAAAATTGTACTGTGCAGACTTGCAGCAAATCCATGTTACTAAGTTTTACAGMAGTKAATTATTTGCTCATTGAAAAATACACTCACTGGGTGTTGGTATATTTCTGCGCATCAGAGGTCCTTGAATCGGCTCATTGTTGCCTTTGTTGACAGCAATGAAGGCTGTGAAGGAACTGCTCACTCCTGATTGGACACTGARCTCTACCACCTTCTCCTTCACCCCCTCATCACACTGTCCCTCGCCATCTCCCTTGTCCATCTCCAGGGAACGGATCAGAGTCCGAGCACCTAATTTGTGGACTGTTAATCTGCAGAAAGGACGGAGGAGAGAACCGGAGTGTGGTTACCCAGGGAAAACATCTGGCTCAGGGTCAGGTTTGGACCCACAAAAAAAAACTGAATTGAATGTCTGTCGGGTTCGAGTCTGGCTTGTAGTTCTCTCTCAGGTTTGAACGGAGAGTTGCAGCATGAGTGAAGCTTACTTTATATTTCTATAAATCCAAATCACCGAATGATGGTCCATCACTGACTCTCCAAAAGAGAAATCACGGGCTATTAAGAAGCCACAAATTTACACAGAGGGGGCAATTCTACACCCAAYATCCTTGCACAATTCCTGATTCAGAAAGCTGCACATTTAAGACATTCATTGTTTTCTGTTAGCTCTATAGTTTTGAGCAAGGCCACATATTAACTACATTAAATTTATTTTTTGTATTTTGTTCAAGCACACTGTGAGCTTGAAAAATACCACTAGTTTGTTAGAGTAACAGGACAGGGGCACTTCAGCGGTTGGTTCCCCCYTGACCCCACCCCTGGATACAGGTGATCACACAGTAAAGTCAGCATGTAATTCAAAGTGATGCTGCTTTTTTACCCAGTGTCCTCTGCAGGTTTGAGAGTGAAGTGGAGCTTGTTCTCAGAGGGATGACCTGCCAGGCTGTACTTCACCGTCACACAGCCCTCTGCTGCATTTGAACTCTGAGAAAACATCAGTGTCACAAGACAATCCCATCTTCACAATTACATGAAGAAATCTAACTTATTATTCTTTTTACCCTTACACCTGACCATGAAAGACCACGAAAGCATCCTTACATAATATCCTTAAGAATCACTATGTAGAATTCTTTTACATATGATATATGAGCATGAGATAGCAGTATGATATAAGTGTGAGTAATTATCGATTATTTATGACATAGCRATGATGAATTTCTGGCCATAGCAACTGATATTTGATCTCAGACTCTCTGCTCCTACCTGTCCRCTGAGCTGTGCATAAATCAGTGACCTCTGACCCTGGAAAATTGCTGTGATTGGTGGAGAGAGAAGAGTGACAGACAATTTCTTTGGCAAATCCCACTTGACYGAGATGTCCTTCACTGCTGGCTGGAGAGAAAATTTCAGTGACTGCATCACCTGGTGAGAGGAAAATATAAAGAATTAAGACATAAGAACGACTTTAGTAAGAGTAGATTTTTATTGAAACCTGTCCATCTGTGGTATTTGTCTTACTTTGGGTTGCATCCTGTCACTTCCTGTGATGAACTGAGCATGACCTCCTCCTTCCTTGGCCAACCCATTGATAAGAGCAGAGCTGGCTCCTTCCCCGATGCCAAAAGAGAAACACCTACAACACAGGTGTTAAGAGTTTTACAGACAGCACTACAACATGGGACACACTGTGAGCAGGACTCTGTGGTTTCACCTGTGGAAATCTGAATTCTTCTTCACGAGATTGATCACTTCATTGGTGTTGAACACCTCTCCGTCAGTGAAGACAAAAAGCTGAGGAGGAGAGTTTTGACAGGAGTTACTGTACATACCAGCACACCCAGTAACATGACATCCAGTAAGAACAATGAGAAAGAAGAACAATGAGAAAGATGTGGTAACTGTAAGCTTCTAACGCACCATTGCAACATGCTCAAGACTGTACTTGGGACATAGATGCACTGTATGAATTTGTGTGTGAATGGGAGATGGACTTGTGTACTGTAAAGTGCTTTGAGTCGTCATCATCAAGATGAGAAAAGTGCTACATAAATACAGACCACTTAAACCTGTCTGTTAAATCTATAGTTTCAAGTCCATTGCTCGCTCTAAATAGGCCAGTGACAYTACCCAGTATCACTGCACACACAGTCTCCATATACTGTATATTCTTTACCACTGTTCTGCTCTTTTKAAGTGTGAACCTACATAACACTGACTGTTCTAGACCAGGACATGACGGAATGCTCTATTTTAGCAAGTCACAGCCCCAGATGGGGGAGATCAATTATCTTGAGATCATGTTCTTGAAATAGGCATGCAGATCAGTGCTGCATCAGCTGTAATGTATGTGGTTGATTCTTATGTTGGAGAGGGAGCTGAGCCACTGGTGTCGTTCAATTAGGTAGAGACTGATTCTCGTACAACTGCTTACTTCATGTGTGTGT